AGGATTTGAATCTACATCCAGGACTGACTGCCAGCTTCTGAGTCATTCCTTCTTCTGCCTTCCACAGACCCAGGCCTTCCTCACGCCAGCAGAACCTTCTCAATGTCTCCTCCTCCCCCATTCCCGCCCCCTACCTACCTGCCTCTGACACCAAGGCATTTGTGGGGTACAGACCTCCTCAGACAGGGTCTATGTAGTAAAAGATGGTGATGAGGTGAGCTTTGTGGAAGTAGAGACCCCTTCTCAGCCCCTGGGTCCTTGGCCAGACTTGGCTGGGCATCCACCCCCCCTCCCTCTGCACCATCACCATGGCAACCTTGCACTGGTTTACCGAACTTGCTCCCTTCTACCCCATCCCAACTGGGTATTGGAGTGCAAGTCTAGGATGTCGGGGGGTGGGGAACCATAAGCTTGGGGAGAGAGTCAAAGTATTCAACCAACAGTCAGAAGGGCAAAGGACCCCTAAGACCATATTTGGTTTGTATCAACTGACTATTAGTTAGCCCTAAAAATAATAGTTAACATTTTTTGACAGCAAGCTATATGTTGGCTACTATTTTAAATACTTTACATGTATTAACTCTTTCGGGCTTTGTAATAGCTCTGAGAACTAGGTTCTATTAATATTAATCCCATTTTATGGTTGTAGAAAATGAAGCTGAGAGGTTCAGGGACTTGCCTGGGGTCCCACAGCAGGAACGCGATGGAGCCGGGAGTCAGAGCCCAGGCACCAACCATTACACACCCTGCCTCTCCACCCTCCACCTCTCTCCACCCTGGGCTGCTTTCCACCGGGCACCCTGTGGGCTTCATTCCCTGGAGTGTGGGTCTCTCCTCCTCTGCTGGGCAGCGCCTCCCTCCTCCTCCAGGGTCAAGAGTCATTGTCACCTCCTTCTTAAGGAAGCCCCCCTTGATTGCTTGCCCTCCCACCAGTCCCCTCAGTCTTCTGCACCCCTGAATTAGTTATCTTCCTGTCTGTCGGCTGGGGGCCTTGTCTTACTCATCCCAGCATCCCCCATCCCTGGAGAGGATGTTCTGGGAGCCTGGAGACCTGTGTTTACGTCCTAACTCTTCCTCGATTAGGCTTGGGTCAGTCATTTAACATCCTGGAGCCTCAGTTTCCTCACCTGTAGAACGAGCATTTAGTGACACGGTGGACAGGGGAGGGCTTTGTAAACTACGGTGCGCTGCCTGGAGGAGGGATTATTGCTGCTGCATAATAGATGTGACAAGGCTTTCCTCTTCTCTCTGTGTGAGGGGTTATTAGGGCTCCTGCTGGGTCCCCTGGGGAGGGGAGCAGGTGGCTGAAAGCAGCCCTAGAGCCAGTTTGCTCTCAGCCCCACTACTGGGCTGGGGGACTTGATGGTTTCAACCTCCTTCTGGACCCTCCCCAGCAAGGAGCACGTGGCTGAGAAGCTCCACTCCCCACGCCCCCCACCCCCAAGTGTAACAGGTGAGTGACTGTGGCTCCCTGGGGCCAGACCCTGGCTTCTGGTCCTTCTCCTACTCCACACTCCACTGCCTGGATAATTACAAGATGCTCTGTGGCCTGACTCCCACGGACTCGCATCACTCAGTGCTCAGCTCTCTGGTGGGAGGAGGGGGCAGAGAATGCCTCGCTCTCTGTGGCATCATCCTCCACCTAGCAGCCTCAGCCCACGACAAGGGCAGTCGGCCTCCCACGCAGGGGCACAGGGGAGGCGCTGCCCCTTCCTCCAGTGATTCCCATACTCAGGAAGGCACCGATGAAGTAATTCCAAGGTCAAAGAGCTCCTTGGGGCAGGGGGAAGGCGGCTGCGGATCTCGCAGATCCTGGGCAAAGGGGCTGCTTCCCGTTCCGTGGGGGCTGGGTTGATGGTTGCGGGGAAGAGGCCAGGAGCCACGGGGCTACAGCTCTCTGTACCGCAGATTAGGGAGGTGGTGCGTGCGGGACAGGGGGCAGCCAGGTTAGACGTCGCGACTGGAGGGGAAACTCGTGGAAGGTGCGGGGACACGGCGAGGATGGGGGGGAAGACGGTGAGAGCCCGGGGACCCCGCTGGCCTTGGGTCCGGAAGAAGTTGCCAGGTTATGCAAGTGAGGAAAGCCAGAGGCGCGAGGCTGGGGGCCAGATCCCAGGGGTAAGACCTCGCCAACCCTCAGGGCACGCTGTGGGGCGACCCGGCTCGGGGTTTAGTCCCAGAACTCGCGGGTTCCCGGCTCCCGAGCATCCCTCGCGCTCGGCCTCTGCTCGGGCCCGGCTGCCCCTCGCCCCGCCCCGCCCCTCCCCTCCCGCTGACCTCTCACGACGTCCAGGACGAGGGCCACCAGCAGGCAGAGCCAGGGGCCGCAGGGCCCCTGGGGAGCCGCTGCCACGCGCCCCGCCATCCAGACGTTCATCCTTCCCACTCAAGGCCGGGACTAGGCGGGCGGTTCAGGTGGCCGCGGGCGGGGGGGGTGCCGCCTGCCACGCGCCCCGCCATCCAGACGTTCATCCTTCCCACTCAAGGCCGGGACTAGGCGGGCGGTTCAGGTGGCCGCGGTCCTCCCGGCATCTCCCGGCCCGACCGGGCCGGCTGGGTCCCCGCCGCCCGCCAATCCGCGGCCGCAGTTCCCAGACAATGGAGCGGGAGCTAGAGCTGGAGCAGGAGGGTGGGAGGGAGCGAACGCGGCTCACGGGCTGCCCCTCCGCCCCGCCGGGTCCTAGTGCCCGACGGATGCCGAAGCCCCAAGCGCCCCTGTGCTAGAGATCGGGCAGAAGGCCACTTCCCCGGGAACTGACTTGCCTCTGCCAAAAGGGACACGACGACGTGTTCCGTTCGCTCCCTTTCGGAAGCTCCTGACCAATGAGGAAAAAGCACCTCCTCTGCCTCCCCCCCCAACCCCACAAGCAGCTCTCCTATAAAGGCATCTGACTCTTGAACCAGAACTAGAATTAGGGGTGGTGGGGGACGTAGAGAACCGAGCTCCGGGGTGGAGAGGGGATGAGAGGGGCCAGGAGGGCCAGGTGACAACTGCTCTGACAGAGGAAGACCCCCAGATGCAGGCAGCCCCATCCCTGGGAGAAACCTGTGGGTCTAAGAAGAGGGAGGGCTGCTCTCTTTGCTGAGGGAAGGCCTGCCTCCCAGGTCCTGCCTCCCGCCAGGCAGCGCTGGGAGAGGTCCAGAGCGGGGCACCTGGCTGCACATTAGCCTTTCCTGGGCAGCTTAAAAAGGAAAAACCACACCCAGGCGCCTCCCCGAAATGCCTGATCCAATCTGTGCACCGGGTTGAGAACCGCGGGCGCAGAACTCCTGTCTGGCAGGGAAGCAGGGAGGGCAGGCAAGCCTGTCTCTGGCTGGGGGCCAGCCTTCGCCACTCCTGCACACAGGGCTGGACGGGGTACCCTCCTCCCCCTCCCCCACAAGCACACTATTGCCACAGAGCTAGTCAGTCCTGGAAGTTTGGTAATGGGGGCGCGTGCCCTCCTCATTCCTCACACCCCTGGAGGGAAGGGTGACTGGTACCAGCCTTCTTTCGCACTCCCTTCCTTTTTCCCAGCTTTGCACTACCTGACACCTGCAGGGAGAAGTCGTGAAAGCTGAGCAGCTCCACAGAAATGGGTTTAGCTGGAGAGAGAGCAATCAAAGCAAGCCAGACTTTGAGCAAATACATCTGATCCAGAACTAGACAATAAAATAGCGTGCACTTTATTTAAAACCAACCAAGCACTGATAAAAATATATTTCACTGCAACTGTGATTCCATATCCAACCTCAACAGTAAGAACTGGGCATTTCTCTACTCTTCACATCACATGTGGGGCCTGGCAGAGGAGGCCACCCACCTCCACCAAAGCCTGGAAGGAAGAATGAGCGCCCTGGTGGGGAGGGTGCAGCTGCAGAGCACGAGAAGGGAAGGGGCTGTGAGGTGCATCTCTGCTGTCTGCTCTGCGCTCCTCCTAGGCGACTGATCAGCGAACTCCCTGGTGGCAGTGATGGAGAGAGAGATGGAGAACCGCCCGGAGCTGCGCAGACAGGAAGATGAACCCTCCTTCCTCCTTCAGGGTCTCTGAAATCCCCACAGGGGATCTCATGGCCACTGCAGGGTCCTACTTGCAGGCACAAGCCTACGAAGCAGTCATCTTTTGCTCTGGCTGAAGGGAAATCAAGATTCTGAGAGGAACCACTTTCCTCTTGACACAAAGCAGCTACAGGGCAGTTTCCTACACACAGTAAGGCAGCGGGCAAGCAGAGGGCCCTGCTGGCTCGGATTAAGGCACTTGTAACAGATTCAATGTACATCCCCGCCCGGGCCCCAGGCGGGAACTTCCCCACTTCCCTTCCCCTTAGGCCCCAAATGCCCTGCCTCTTCCCCATGCTGGGCAATGAAGGGGACAGGAGCATGCCCTGAGGGACTGTGGTTTGGTTGGAGTACAGGGCTAGAAGGAGAAGACAAGTGGGAAGAAAGCTGGCGACTTGGCAGGGCAGGAGCTAGAGAAGGACAGGAGAGCAAGAGCGTCGGAGGGAGGCAAGGCAGCAGGTG